CGCCGAAACTAATCCGTTCCCCTAGGTAATAAGAAGCGGCCCAGGTAAACAAATCCGTCTTTCTGCAATGGTTCTCCAGGTACAACTAGTTTGAGGACTGACCAATCGAGCCAGGTAGCATTTGGTACTGTGAAAGTGAAAAATGCCGGCTGAACATAGCTAGACTACCACCAAAGCTATCCAGAAAAGATCGCAAATTACTTGGATCTTCACAGCACTATCTACGTATTCTATACCATACAATTTGCAGCCTGGGAGCATGTCAAAGTTGCCATTCTAGCACAAGGGTGGGACCGTTTCCGAAACCCTATTTGATACGAAGTTAAAGAGGAAAGGGCATCCCTGACGAACACTATTTTCTCTGGTGAATTCGGGTGAAAGAAGTGTAATTAAAAACTCATCTGGGGTCCATGAAGTAACCAGAACCAGAGTAGTATAATATAAGATAAACAGTATACCATAGCCGGTAGTGGCCAAGTGGTTGGGTTACCAAATTGTGACCCGGAAGTCCCGGCTTCGAGCCGCTCCATCGCCATCCGTCTTCCTTATTTCTGTATTTTCCCCAGACGGCCTTTGTATGGCCGCATCCCTCTTCCTGAAAGTTGACTGTACACTTGTATATTCAATAAATAAAAAGGAAGTAAAAAGACATGTTATAGCCAAAATTAACCACTCACTAGATACTGGTAACCACTGATGGACCTTAGTAAATTGGGAAACTCCATGGGCATGTTTTTGTTCTTACGATCTGCCTCTAGTTTACGAAAAGGATGGAAAACCACTGCAAGCACTCCAGAATCGAAAGTTTCCTTTACTGAATAGTCACATCAATTGTGAACAGTTCTGGGGTCATTTGAACAGCCAGGGGTCGTCTGCCAATCAGTTTCGGCTTTTGCAACCACTTAATCACGCATTTTCGTGCCGTGGTTTTGATTGCTATCTTTATGCTGCCCATTTGTATAAAAGAGTAGATTGGAATGCTGAGACGAGTTAAATATATGATAGAGAATTCATATAGACTAAGATTGTAACGATAATGAGTAGATACCACTGTTCGTGACAGCCACATCACTCATTGTCTCTAACGTTTACGGCCCAGTCTGCTGGTTAAGTTTTCATATCACCCACCCCCTGGTCTTAGTTTGACCGTTCTTGTCCTTTACCATCCACTGCATCGGTAAACATCACGCGTCGTGCCAATTTACTTGGTGACATGCATAATCCAAACCAACATAATCTATGGGGTTGACCTCTTGCGATAGAGGGCGATCATGATTACCTAAAACTCTGCGCCTAACCTCAGCATTGCTTGTTAGGTTAACCCACTAGACTGACATAATGTGGTGTGGACAGCAGTATTCGAACACCCACAGTTTATCCAGTTCCCTTAATGGCCTCTGGACCGATATAATGTGCCTCTGACAGACGGTGAAACGTTCGCGCGGGACTACATTCCGATTGAACTCCAAGGTAAAGATGAGCGCGGAAAGGTAACTCCCAACCGCCAATCCAGAAAAATCCCATATGGAAACATGATGCCGTAAGTTAGCACAGTTATTCTTGGCACGAAAACGTTAAATGACCTAATTAGTTGCCCACACCTGACTTGAACTCAAGAAGCGATTGACGGCATCCCAGTTTACGCAGGCGGGGTAGCCTGCAGGAGGTCCCTTGAGAGTTTGAATACATTGGAATGGACAGTATACAAGCCGTTCACAATGGAGCGTTTTACAACCGCAGAACACTTACCTTGAGGAGACATCAGGAGATTCACCGACTCCATGATATCCAGGAAAAGTTCGTTTCTTCTGTATTTGATGCCTTCCCTTCTCCATCCTATTTGTCCAGTAACCTGATTGGTGATTTGTGCGGTTTCTTCTTTTGTAGCTGACTTGGTCCCAGCCTGTGTAATGAGGGATTTTAGAGTACCGGTATCCGTGTTCTGTGCGTACCCATAATCGATGACCTCTAGAGCGAAGATGTATCAACCAAAGATAAATCACAAACCATCTAATATCTCATATATAAGAACAAAATTATTCTTAATATTTTCTTCCGTTACACGACCGAAGTACTCTTTCATAACCGTCAAAAGAGCGTGAAGTAACTGGAACACCATCGCCGCATTCACATTGCGCCGAGCAACAGCACACACCCAAATGTTGGCTCTTTTAACGTGGAAAAAGCTAGTCCTTGCAATGATCGTAATTGGGGACCGGACCTGCTGTCTGGCATGTATCACGTTAACCCTAAATGCATCTGCGGCATTGCGCGAGACGTCATCCCGGAAAATCCGTGAGATCAAAACTTCGCCTTTGTGGTTATAAATGAAGAGACCACCAATCATTGTCTTTACGCAACTTATATGGCAGACTAGTCTGCCGGTTACACCAGAGTTACTCTAAAAAATGTCTAGAGACTGCGTCTGCTTCCAGGACCAAGGTGTGGGAAATGTAGCGCACTAATACAAATAAGCCGCACCCAGGTTCAGGTCAGGTCAGGTCAGGTCAGGTTGCACAGGACTGATAAT